CGGGGAGAGGAGGAGGGGAGGCAGTGGGATAAGAGAGAAGCTGGACACTACTCTGGTGGAGGGGGCTGGGGAGAACGTGAGATCCAGAGCCCCTGAGCAGGGAAAAGCAAGGCTTCAGTCTGTCCACACTCAGACACACACACACAGATACCTCCACAGACAGATTGACACACAGATGGACACACACACACCTAGAGACACACCCAGACAAATAACCAGAGATGCACACAGACAGGCAGACAGACACACTTCCAGACACACAAAGAAACACACAGAAACTCAGATGAACACAGAGACACCCAGACACACCCAGCAAACCCTCTTTCTAAGTCTTTTCTGGACAAAATCCATTTCTCGTCTGGCCTCTCCTCATCCCGTCTGCCCTTAATGAAAGTTTATGAAGCACTGCTGTATGCGAGGCCCCGTTCTAGGTGGCAGAAGGTGGCTTTGTTTAAAGAATCAAGTGTGGGGGGGGCTTCTCTGGTGGCTCAGTGGTAAAGAATCCACCTGCTAGTGGAGGGGACATGAGTTCGATCCCTGGTTCGGGAGAGGATCCCACATGCAACTGAGGCTGCGTGCAACAACTATTGAGCCTATGCTCCAGAGCCAGGGGAACTGCAACTACTGAGGCCCTTGCATAGCAACTCCTGAAGCGCGTGCCCTCAACCTCATTCCCCTCAACTAGAAAAGACCCAGCACAGCAGAAATTTTGTTGTTCAGTATCTCAGTCATGTCCAGCTCTGCAACCCCATGGACTGCAGCACGCCAGGCTTCCCTGTCCTTCACCATCTCCTGGAATTTGCTCAAACTCATGTCCATTGAGTCGGTGATGCCATCCAACCATCTCATCCTCTGTCACCCACTTCTCCTCCTGCCCTCAATAGCCAAAAAGAGTAAATACATAAATGAAATCATCAATAACTTAAAAAGAAAAAAAGGAACCAAGGGGACCCCATGGACAAGCAGGAAGAGTATTTCAGCAGAGGAACAGCCAGTGCAAAGTCCTCTCCTCTCTCCCATCCTCCCCACCCTATCTCCTCCCCAGCCTTGACTCAAGCCATTTGGAATGGGGGGTCACAGAGGGAGAGTGGTCCCCCTAAGGATCCCCCTGCCCCACCTAGCCTAATTATCTTCCATCCCATAGAATAGGATTCCACGGGACTCAGAGAGGCCGTGTCATACACCCAAGGTCACACAGCATGAACGTGGGCTCAGATCTGTCTGAACCAAGGGCCTCTGTCATCAGAAACAGAAGCTCCTCACTAAGGGCAAGACCCTGATGGGCAAAGGCTGGGCCAGGGAGGACAGTCAGCCAGGGCCTGGGACACCAGATACCCGTCCAGTGTGAGGGACTGGAGTGAGAGTCATGAACCGAACTCTCCTGGGCACAGAGAGGCAGTGACAGACAGACAGACACCTGGGATTTCAGTCCCTGCCCCCACCAGGCCAGGGAGCAGCAGCCCCTGAGACCACCAGAGTGGGCACAGAGTCCAAAAGAATGGGTGATGGGGACACACAGCAGGGGGTGTGGGTCTGACCTGGGTGGGTCCTCAGACCCTGGCTGGGCTGTCGGTCCTGATTTTGAAATCGTGTCAGGATCAGAGGGGGGGTCTGACAGTGCAAGCAGGACTCCGGATGGGAGGTTGGGGCTCTGTCTGAGTCTCCTATTGCTACAGAGACAAATCATCAGAAATTTGGTGGCTTTAAACAATTCACATTTACTATCTGACAGTTCTGGAAGTAGGAACCAAAAACGGGTCTCACTGGGCTAAAATCAAGGGGTCAGTAGGGCTGGATTCCTCTTGGAAGTTCTAGGGGAGAATGTGTTTCCTGGCCTTTTCCAATTTCTAGAGGCTGCTAATCCTCCACCTTCAAAATCAACAGGTTAGCATCTTCCCATTTCTTTCTCTCTGACTCTCCTCTCTCTCTAAGGACCCTTGTGGGTATTCACTGTTGGTTCTTCAGTGTTCGGGACTCTGAGATTCCACTGTAGGTGGGGCTGGTTTGATCCCTGCTCGGGGAAATAAGATCCAATATGCCATACAGTGGAGAAGGGCATGGCAACCCACTCCAGTATTGTTGCCTGGAGAATCCCCATGGACATAAATGCCTGGCGGGCTGCAGTCCTTGGGGTTGCAAAGAGTCAGACACGACTGAGCGACTAACCATAACCACCACAGGCCACACAGTACAGCCAAAAAAAATGAATACTAATGAGGAACCTGTGATGATGTTGGATAATCCCCCCATCTCCAGATCCTTAACTTAATCAGCCATGCAAAATCCCTTTTGCCTTGTAAGTTCACATATTCACAGGTTCCAGGGGTTAGGATGTGCAGGCATCCTTATATTCTGTCTAGCACAGGGCTCATTGTCCAGGGTTTAGAGTCCAGCCTCCAGACCTGGCCATGATGACCCCAGGGTCTGGAAAAGACCACTGGGACCAGCCATCGGACTGGGGGGTGGGGGCACAGAAGGGACAAAGAAGCCCTCAGTTTATTACCTGGATCAGGGCTTATGAGCCTCCCCAATCCTACCTTCCTGTCCCACCCTCAAGTACAGAGGGTGTGAAAGTGTGGAAGGAAGGAGGCAAGGAGCTCCCCAAGTCTCCCTACGGTCGTCCTTCCCACCACCCAGACACCCTACATTGGACCCACCAACTTAGAAATGACTCCATTCCCCTACTCTCACCACCCAGGACCTGGCCTCCTCTGATTCCCCCATACCCTGGAGATTTTACTGCTAAATCCCTCTGGAGTTCTTCACTTCTGTCTACAACTCCCAGATCAGACCCCAGCTGCTCCTGCTGCTCTCATTTTAAATCTGATTGTGTCTAACTTCAAATCTGACTGTGCCTCTCCCCAGAGAATCCTGGAGGGCCCTGTCCTCTCCTCACTCACCATCGGACCCAAATTCAGCTGAATCCCCCCGGTTGCAGATGTCACCTCTTCCAGGAAGCCTGCCCAGAACACTCCATGCTCATAGCTGGAGTGGGGAGTGGGTGGGCACAGAAGGGCAGGGAGTAGTGGAGAAGTGGCCCGTGTGCAGAAGGTCCAGCCTGCATCTCTTTTTGCCAGGCGAAGCCCTTCCTCCAGCTTCCCCACCTCTGCCCAGAAAGTACCTCCCACCTGAAATCTCTCCCTGACCCCAGCCCACCCAAATCCTCTTCTGAGGACCTACCCTCTACTCCTCTAGGAACCTGCTGCTCCCCCTCTGGGGCCTGAACTGCCCCCATCCCACCAGGTCTCTGGTGTCACTGTTAATCCAAATGGCTCTCATGTTCTGCACACCCCCAGGTGCAAGGTACCGTGGACATGACCGAGTGACTGAACAACAAAATTTTCACGATGCTGAGAAAAGAGTATTGTTTGACTTATCCTTGTGTGCAGAGGAGCTCTTGGACTGCCCTGGAAGCTCAGCAGTAAAGAATCTGCCTGCCAATGCAGGAGACACGGGTTTGACCCCTGAATGGGGAAGATCCCTTGGAGAAGGAAATGGTAACTCACTTCAGTTTTCTTGCCTGGAACATCCCATGGACAGAGGAGCCTGGTGGGCTACATACAGTTCATGGGGTCACAAAAGAGTTGGACAAGACTGAGCAGCTTAACAACAAAGGAGCTCATGGAGGAAGAGGAGAGAATAAAAGGGTGAATGTGGATGGTGGGGCAGAGGGGGCAGGGGGGCTCTGAGGACCAGACTGAGAGCTGAAGAAGGATGCACACATTTGGGAAGAGAAGGGACAGTGCAGCAGAGGGAACAGAAGGTGCAAATGCGGGCAAGTTGGATGGAGTGGGACAGCTTCAACCACACTTGCTACAGTTGGCCCTGCTGTCCTCCCCCTCTGTGTGTGTGGAACTCAATCTCAGAAGATGTGAAGCAACTTGCCTAGGGCCCCACAGCCAAAATAACCTAGGGTTCACCCACCTCGCCCATGGTCTGCTACAGGGAGAGACTTATTGTTCAAAGGTGAGCCACTTGCCTAGACGTTGTGGGGTTGGCCGGTGGTTCTGGAACCCTCTTCTCTTCAACTGGCGACAGCTGGGCTGTAAGTCTCTTAGATGCTGCCCAGGTGCTTGCAGACTACCTCTGCACGATGCGGGATTGCCCAGCATTCACGGCTTGCCCTGGCTCCCTGCCCCTGTGCGCCCGGGGCGGGGGGGAGGGGGGGTCACCTTCTGTTCCTCCCTACAAGAGGAAGCCTGGGGTTTCGCCACCACCAACACCGTTCTCCCTCCCTGCCTTTATCTTCCCAGCTCTGCCACTTATCTCTGCACCCCACTGGACCACAGACTCGCCCACCTGCCCTATACGCCTCCCAGCCCGCAGGGGGGTTCCTTGGCTTCCCAACTCCGCAGTTGGTCCCATGAACCAAAAACTGGACCAGCTCGGCCTGAGAGCTGGGACAGGTCACCAGACCTTGGGGGCACTGCGGTGGCCTCCGAGGCCTGAGGTGGTGAGTCGGGGGCCTTCTGCACAACACCCAGCGGTGCACGCAGGCGGGTCCAGGCACGCGTGGTGTGTCGGCAGATACAGCCAGGCCAGCAAAGAGGACCCGTGAGGGCGCTGGAGAGGACTTACAGAGAACGGAAGAGAAATGCGGGCCGGACTGAGCGCGCAGCAGATGGAGGTAGGTTCAAAGGAAAGAGCTGCCGCAGAGCGAGGAAACCTGTGGCGGGGTTCAGGCTAAACAGCGCCGCGGGGCGGGGCGGGGCGGGACTGGAGGCGGGGCCCCGTGGCGCGGGGCGGGGTTGGAGGCGGGGTCCCTTATGCGGGGCGGGGGTCTAGGAAGCGGCCTTGTAGCAAGAGGGGCCCGAGCGCCGCTAGGACCCCGAGCCTTGAAGGCCTCGGGCCGGCCCCGCCCTCCAGGCCCCGCCCCCCGATCCCGGCCCACGCTGCCCCCAAAGCCTGCTTCCCGGCCCCCCGCAGAGGCGGTGCCTGAAGCAGAGTCCCGGTGCTCGGTGCCGACTGCGCGCGTCTCCTCCTCCGCATCTGCGGCAGGCGAGCTGTCAGCCACCCACCCCACCGCCGGCCCCTGGTGCTCCCGGCCGCCTGCGCCCCCCAGGTAAGTGAGACCCCAGCCATCCGAACGCGACCGGGAACGCCACCCTAGCAGCGAGCTCCAGCCCCGCCTCCACGGCCATGGCGTCCGCGGCGGTCCTCAGACACAGCCGCTGTCCCCCATCCTCGCCCGGGACGGCCTCCCGGGGCTTCCCGTTTGGTCCCAGGCCCCGGCCGCCTCCCTGAGAGAGTCCCGCTCCCCCGAGGGCCGGGGCGCAGCGAGCGCAGGAGGACGCGGCGGCTGCGTAACGGGTGGGCGAGAGTGGGGACGAGCCTAACACGACGGGGGCGGGGGCGGGGGGTGGTCGTGGGGAGTCCAGAATGTGTGAACGCGAGGAGCGCGATGCGGGGGTCTGTCGGTCGGTCACCAGAGAATCTGTACCTGCTGGGGATGCAGCCGGGGCCCTAACCTCAGAGCCCGCAACCCGGCCGCGTAGACTGCTAGGACCCGCGTAAACAGACACGGATCATGTCAGCCCATGCACAGTGCGCAGAAGACCACACCTCTGGGAGATGGGCTAGGGTCACGGAGGAATTCTCGGAAAAGGTGTCAGCCAGGCCTGAGAGAATCAGCCAGCGAGGGGTTTTTAGGCCCAGAAAACAGCAAAAGATTATGAGTCAGGGCCCAAACTGTCGTGTCTGCAGAGCGGAAAAGAGGCGAGCGTGGCTCAAGTTCGGTGAGCCGGGTATCTGAGGTGCGAAGACCTTGGCCTCGGGCCAAGAAGATAACGAGCAGTGTGTGGATTCCGTTCTCAGGTCTGTGGGGACCACGGAGGCTTAGGACAAAATGAGTGACCGGGTCCAGCTGTGTCTTACAAAGATCCAGCAGCTACTCTGCTCCCCAAAAAGAGATGGGAGGAGGAGACTGTGGGTTTGGACCGACAGGAAGGGGGCGATGGAAAGTGGGCGGTTTGGGGTTCTTCTTTGGCAGAGGGACTTCGCCTGCATTCCCTGCCTGCTCAGAAGTGGGGCGGGAAGACAGGTGCATGGAAGAGATTTCTGGTGTGGGCAGCTGAGAGTGTGGAAGGATGGGGAAACCGAGAGAGAAACAGGTCAGGGGGTGTGAGGCTGTTGTGACTCAGACTGATTTGCAAAACCCGAGATGCCACTTGAGGGGGGACGTCCTGAAGACACCGCTGGGAACCCAGGCCAGGTCCAAGGTGACTGAGTGCAAGGGGGCAGCCTGGATCTGTTGTATGGGGCCACTTGAAATAGAAATTCTGGATTGCAGAGGTGTCTTTGAAGCCCCCAGAGTCCCCAGCCTCAACTCAGCCCCTTTCCAGGAGCCTGTGTGTGTGCGTGCTCAGTTGTGTCTGACTCTGCCACCCCACAGACCATGGCTTGCCAGGCTCCTCTGTTCATGGAATTTTCGAGGCAAGAATACTGGAGTGGGTTGCCATTCCCTTCTCCATGGAATCTTCCCGACCCAGGGATTGTCCTGCATTGGCAGGTAGATTCTTTACCACTGAGCCACATGGGAAGCCCCTTCCGGGAGCAGCTGCTATGAATAAACTTGGCGGTGATGGGAGTTCCCGGAAGCTCACTCAGCATACCTGGGTCCCTGAGGCCCCAGCCAGGCTGCAGGGAGGAGGCAGTTGGAACCTTCCTTGCCTGGCCTCCCCGCTCACCTATTTCCAGCTGGGAGGGAGCCTTGGTCATTGCACTGGTCTTGGGTCCCTAGAGAAAGTTTTCTAGGCTTCAGTTTGCCCATCTATAAATTGGGTCCATAGTACCTGTATCTGGGGATGATGTTCCAATCAAAGCCTGCCTCAGCTAGGAAATAAAAAGGGGTTTGGCCAATCCCAAGGGCAGCCTTATGCCTCGGGTGAGGGGAAGGGGCTGCAGCTCTGGTGGGAGTTCAGGGCCCGGTGAGCCTCCATTTCTTGCTCTGAGAAATGGGAAGAACTCATAAGTGCATCCACCTCCAGAACCCACAGGCATCGGCAGATCAAGTGAGTCAGGCATGTAAAGTGTTTGGTTGGCCCAGCGCCCAGCACAAAGTGCTCGCTGGGCACAGGAACTGCCGTCATGATTGTAGTTGGCTGTGGGGAGCGGGCCAGTCCTCCCACCACCCCTGGGATGCCCACAGGAAGACAGGCACTGGGGGGCACGCGCCTCTCTTATCTGGGCACTGCAGGCTGTCCCCTCTCTGGCTGCTGGAAGCTGCCTCTGAGCTCATCCTGCCAGTTTGAATGCAGTGTTCTCAGGCTAGTGACTTCACCTCTGGTTCAATTTCTTCACCTGTAAAATTGGGAATAATAGCAGTCATCACCTCAGGGGTGAGCGCAATGCCTGTCTCGTAATAACAACGACCTGGTAAAGCAGAGTGGATGCCTGGAGGGGTAGGGGGGAGGAGGAGGGAGGAGCCCAGAGAAGTGACCTGACTCAGCCTCCAGAGGGGTCAGGAGTCAGGCTTCTTGTTGGAGGTGACCACTGGCCTGGTTGCTGAAGATTATTAAGAGTTCATGGGCAGGACTTCTTTGGAGGTTCAGTCGTTAAGTCTGCCTGCCAATTCGGGGGATGTGGGCTCGATGTCTGTTCTGGGAGGAGTCCATGCGTTGTGGGGCAACCAGCCCCATGTACCCACACAATGGAGCCCGTACTCTAGAGCTGTGACTGCTGAAGCCTGCGTGCCACAAAGTCCACAGCAAGAGGAACCGCTGCAATGAGAACGCCATGCGCCACAACTGGAGAAAGCCTGTGCACAGCACCAGAGACCCAGCGCAACCAAAAATAAGTAAATAAATAACATTTTTTAATTAAAAGGATAGAGTTCACGGGCAGAGAGACCAGTGAACAGAGATGTGGAAGGGAGTCACCTTGGGTAAATGGGAGAAGCTGGGGGCAAGGAGCCAGGAAATCAGCATGAGAGAGACTGCACTAGTCCAGACCATGATGAGGCTGGACCAGGTGGAGGTGTGGATGAGTGAGAAGTGAGTAGATCCTGGATAGACTTGAAGTTGGGCTTCCTCAGTGGCTCAGTGGTAAAGAATCCGCCTGCAAAGCAGGAGACACAGGAGGTGAGGGTTTGATCCCTGGGTCGGGAAGATCCCCTAGAGAAGGGAATGGCAACCCACTCCAGTATTCTTGCTTGGGGAATCCCCATGGACAGAGGAGCCTGGCAGGCTACGGCCCATAGTGTTGAAAGAGTTGGATGCGACTGAAGCAACATAACATGCACGCACACCTTTGTTGACATGATTCTGTCACACCAGGTCTCCACCCTGAAACAGCAGGAGCTCACCCCTCTCCCCACATCCTCCTAGGCTTCCCAAATCATATGGTTTCAGGGCCATGAGTATGTCTGGGGAGGGGGTCAAGCCCCTGCCAGCCAGCCCTTGGGGATCCCCTTCTACCTTGTGCTGGTCCCCAGTTCCCACCCGCCCCATCTGTCATTGATTCATTCAGTACGTGCTGATGAAGTATGCGTGCTGGGAGGCAGTGGGGACTAACAGTGAACAAAATGAAGCTTCTTTGCCACCCCCTACCACCATCACCTCATTGGTGGAGCTGATGTTCTGGGAAGGGGGCAAGAGAAACCTGAAGGATGAGAAGGAGCCAGCCAGGCGAACATCTGGAGGAAGGGCATTTTGGGCAGAGGGTCCAGCATGTGCAAAGATCCTGAGGCAGGACCCAGCCCTGCATGTTAAGAAGTTTAGCAAAGAGGCCCATGTGGCTGGAGCAGCATGAGCCGGGGGGAGAGTGTCAGATGAAAAGACTGAGGGTCCTTAGGGCCCCTCAACCCAACAGTTGCAGACCCTGGGTGGGTCCCTGCTCAAGGGGGAGTGAGGTTACTGGGCCCCACTGCTATGCAGTTTGCTTTGGTGTGTTGTTCCCTTTGTGGAGTGGACAATGTGCCCCAAAAGCAGAGGAGGCTGGCAGGCAGAAGGAAGAGAGGGCCAGCCCTTTCCTGGTGGGCAAAGCTGATGCTGGGAAAGATTGAAGGCAAGAGAAGAAGGGGGCGACAGAGGATGAGATGGTTGGATGGCATCACCGACTTGATGGACATGAGTTTGAACAAACTCCGGGAGATAGTGAGGCACAGGGAAGCCTGTCGTGCTGCAGTCCATGGGGTTGCAGAGTCGGATACAACTGAGTGACTGAACAACAAAGCTTCTCCCCCTTCCTTCTGCACTTGCTGGGGGCTCTGCTGACCTGGGAGGCTTCCTGGAAGGGCTGGAGGGAGTGGAAAGAAGGAACAAGGGGGAGGGTGCTAATGGAGGCTGAGAAGGGGGCCAGGGAGGAAGAGGAGGAGGACACAGAGCCCAGAACTGGGTGTTGGGGCAGCATGTTCACCGGGAGGTGACAGGAGATGGCAGGCAGGGGCCTGCTGAGCCTTGAGGACGAGCAGCAAAAACCCAAGCAGGTAGACTTTGAGAATGGCCCCTCCAGCAGCCCACAGTCACTCCCTTTCCAGGAGTAGGAGAAAGGATTTGGCGTCCCGCCCCATACCCCCTGTGAACAAGGACCTGGGCAGCTGTGCCTGTTGACCCTTCCCACCTTCGCCATTCAGCTGGGTGTGCACCAAACCCCTCCAGTTTCAGAGACTCGGCCGTTGTGGTGCATGGACTTAGTTGCCCTCTGCAAGTGGGCCCTTAGTTCCCTGACCAGGGATTGAACCCTGAGGTCACAAAGAGTTGGACACGACTGAGCATGCATGCATGAACACAGGTCTGCAGACCTGTCAGGGTCCCAGAGGAGCCAAGGGTTGAGACAGAGTCAGACCGTGAGCTTTGGAGAAAAAAAGCCAGCCTGGACAGATCTGCTGTTGCATTGCAAGGCAAATTTTTAACCACTGGCCCACCAGGGAAGTCCCTGAAGACAGGCTTAGAGTTCAATGAATCCGAACTCTCCACTTCCTACCCATCCCCTCCCCTGTGCCTCGGTTTCCCCAGCTGCAAAATGGAGATGACAGAAACACTGGGCACTGGACGCCAGCCACAGCTTCCTGGGAGCCTGACCAGAGAGGGGAAGGAGTTGGGGGCAAATTAGACCCTGGAGCGA